TACAGAAGTGCAGACAGATGACATCTGTAGCCCTTCCCTTGTCCACTGCTGTAGTCCCTCCATCACAGAAGGCCTCTAGGTTGGTCAGACAGGACTTGCCCTTGGTGAAGCCATGCTGGCTGTCTGGAATCACCTCCCTGTCCTCCATGTGACTTAGCACAGCTTCTAGGAGGACCTGGTCTGTGATCTTCCCAGGCACAGAGGTGAGGCTGACAGGTCGAATATATATATATGGAAGATGGTTTGAATTGAACCTTCTAAAATCCCCCTTCTGTTGAGAAAGCTGATGTAAGTGACCCTTCGATGCCAATTGGTTTTTAAAACTACCTTCACGTAAGACAATGAAAAGCAAAAAGTAAAAAGGAGCTCTGGCTTTTTGCTGTGTTGTGGGTTGGCTGTTTTAAGGTGTTCATATAAAATCCTTGGTTTTAGCAGCTTTAGAGCAAAAGTCACTACTACTTCTTGGGTTTTATGTATAATCAAAACAGCAACTTCCATATCACAACTGCATAGTTTGTCTTCTGCCATATCCCTTTTTAGTTCAAAATTCTATTAAATTGTATTTTGAGTCAGGACAACTGTTTTCAAGCTTTGCAGCTACTTTTCTAATAGGAAAGCAACAAATAATTCCTGGTATCTGCTGCTCCTCAGGGGTTACATTTGGTTGCAAACACCAGAGAAGAGCCTGCAGAAAAGACCCAGCAGATGACGTGTAGAGCAGTTGCTCTTCCATCAGTACCTTGTGTGCCGAGGGGCTGTTCTGAGGTGAAGTAGGCAGGAGGGACACACAGTACGAGGGGTAGAGCATGTGTCCCTTTTCCCCAGGGGGTTGAAGGGGATTTTTTGCCTCTTGTATGTCATGCTCATATGAGCAAGAACATAAAAATTTGTTTAAAACAACAGTTTTTATGTATGCATGAGGTAATTTTTTTTTAACTTTTAAATTCAGCTGCCTTATCTGTAGTTGATCCTTTTTATTTCTCCTTATGCACAATAGCAAATATGTTTGCAAAATACTCAAGCTTAAGTATAGAAATGAGGATTTTTATTTTTTTTCTTGCTGTTTACCATTTAACGAATTTTACCATCCAATTCCAAGTTCAAATAGAAAAACAAGAGCAGGTATTTTGGCAGTTTTACAGCTGGGAAGAAGGCAAACTGTGCAGAGAAGACTGGTCAAACTGAGCAAGTAAATATGCAGCAGATCCGCAGTGGTTTGGTGTCTGCATGTGATTTTTATGAAACTAGACATGAGGAAACAACATCCTGGATCTGGTCATTTTGCCAACATCTATTAAAGCACTCTGAGGGGTGGAAGCTTTCTTTCACTCTCTCTCAGAAGAACATGGAAATTGGAAAGGTTTTTCATGTGTTGAACTGAAGCGGCTGCTATTTAAACATTCAATGCTGTTTGCCAGCCTGCCATATGTTCCAAAACAGGAATTGCTGTAGTTACTGTAAATGCATGCTTAGAAGTTTGGTTTTTTTTTCCAAAAAAAATTTCTTATAGTGCCTTTTTTCTCAGTGCAGGTGTCCCATATTGAATATGTGACCATAAGTCTGTTTAGGAGTAGATAATTTAAACAATATTTAACATGTGTGAGCATAAGCTTGTAAAATGTTGTTACTGACTGGTGACACTCCAGAGATTATCAGAAACATTAGAGATTCTGGGCAAGTGCAGGAGGAACAGGATTACCTGCACCCACTAAAGACTGAAGTCAGATTATCCCAGAAGCCTAAAATCGGTGTCTGACTGTGGTGTAACTGTGGATAGAACTTGTTTCTGTCTGCAACACGTCAACCTCTAGGAGACGTATAGTTAACTTGCAGCTTAAACACATTCAGTAAAACCCAGTATGTTTTGTATTTGAAGGCTCAGTTTTGGGTTGTGAAGACTGAACTAACGTCTGCTGTGTGGCTCCTGGATTGTTCCTTTTTAAAGATTTCATTGCAGGATACAGCTGGGACCACATAATGATTAGCCAGCTCTGTAATAAACCTGATCTTTTGCTATAAAGATAAAAATCTGTCTGGATTTCTAGAGGTACTGAGCATTCTCTGCTTTTGACAGAGTTGAAAGTGGTATTAGAATCCCTTTGAATTTTGTTTTAAAGAAAAATGTATGGAAATGTTCCTATCTATACAATGGGTCCATTGTGTCCTGATAACCTTTCTGTCTTCTCTTTCCTAGGGAAAGGTTAGAAGTTGGATGTTGCCAGCTGGCACAGCTGGAACACACTGTTAAGCAATGTCATGCATCAGCTCACATGGAGGCCAAGAACAGGGGCTGGCTGTGACACATGGGTGAAGGTTTGGAGCTGCAGTGCTTTTTCCTTGTCCAAGCCACGTCTAACTCCTCTGGGGTGTGCAAGGGAAATACTCGAGGAGCCAAAAATCTGCCTTTTTTTTTTTTTCCTTGATGGTGCTGTTTTATATTTGAGTTGAAGGAGGGAAAAAAAGGGCAAAACAAACCCCCTTGTACCTTATATGTACATTACATGTCAGAATTTTTGCTAAGAATCACAAGCTAATAGAACTTTCTGTCTCGGGTGAGGCTTTCTGGATTGATACAGCTGGTTTGGTGTACAGCACTGCGATGGGCTGGCGTTCCAGATTGCCAATGTTCGTGTTAGGAGCTAGGTCTGTGAATGCTTGTGTAGGAAAAGCCATGCAAGGCATTTGTTTTGCTGAAACTTGAGACGTGACAGGTGAGAAAACAGGGTATGTTGTGACACCCAGGGGCCTGAAAGGAAAGCAGCTGAATACAAGCCAGATACCCGTGATCCTTGCCACCCCTACGGCCACAAGGACTACAGTGCATATGCAATGTACGTATCCCGTGAAGTGACTTATGTAAGGTTTCAGAGACGATATAGACTGGGGAAAGAAATGGACTGATGCTCATTTTTAAAAAAAAAAAAAACAAAACAAAATAAGAGAGACCTATCCCCATACCAGGTGTGTTTGTCCTGGACCTCTTTTCATAGGAAAGAGATGTTTTTTCCTTTGTTAAAATATCTGCTTAATCTTCATACATCAGAACCTGCTAGCAGCGTTCTTTTGGAAAACTCATCCTTCTCTTGTGCCACTTCTCTTGTAAAGGCAGGAATGGTTTTTCCCTCTGGGTTATGCTCCATGACTTGTCTCATCGCTGCTCTCCAGGTGACATCTCTATGTGAGTGTACTGCTTGTTGCTTTCCAAAACTGCTTTAAGTCCACGAAACCTTCTAAAAGCCATTTTCAGTGCTTCTGTGGCCTTTAAAGCTACCTCTTCCGTGTATGTATTTGTACAGAGATGAGATGACTGGCAAAGTTCTAAAGTGTTTATTTTGATATTAACTTTTGGGTGTATTTGTAAAATCTTTATTGTAAAAATATAATTTATTGTTACAGTAAATGAAAGTTAATTCTACATGGCAGTTTCTTTGAATAGCTTTATTTTCACTTTGCTTAATTACTGTGGATGCAAGTTTAATGCAGTTCTTGCCCCTGGACACTTGAAAGTCAGAAAGAAGTGGCTTGGTAGAGTTACTGTAGGAGCAAAATTGATTTTAAGGGCTATTTCCGTTCAAGTTGTTAGCCCACAGTTGCGGGCTAAGTATGTTATGCTCCAAGAAGCTTATGCTGGCACTTTGTATTGTAAATTGAGGAAGGTGGATCAAGTTAAGGACATGATGTCTGTCCATCTTAACTTGCAGCTACTGTTGATACACTCCAGGGGAAGACAGCAGGCACAGAGAAGACAACTACATTTTCTGTCAGACTCCCTGTTCAAATGCACTCAGTGTTACAGCTTGGACTAATCAACCACTTTCTTTGGTCTGATGTTTTTCCTTCTCCCAGGCAG